TGTTATTTTAGAATGAGATTGTCATGAAGTCCTCGATCAGTTCGGGTTGGTTTATGTCTGAGTCTAGTCTTTAATTAATTATCTTTTTTGTTTGATTCGATCAGGATCATTTTTTGCAAAAATAGATCCCGACGTGATGATAGGTATATTGAAGAACTTGTTGAACGTATTAATAAAAATGAAATATATTTTTCATTTTATACTATATTTTGGTCGACGTGTTAGCTCAGTCTAAGTAATATCAAAGTGTTTGCACCGGCTTAAGAACTCAATTGTTTCTAATGTTATCTCAAAAAATGAAACAAAGTTAAACTTTTTCAGAGCTTAAGAGCTCAGAATAGCTTAAGAGCTCAAAATGGCTGAAGAGCATGCTTCTCTCAGGTCGGTCTTACGTTTTGTGCTTTTGTTAGTGATTTTTTATTTTTTATTGGTTCTCTATGTTGGTTCTTTTTTGCTTTCAACCTCGATATCGATCGAGCTGCTTGCCTACTTCTCAATCCTACCCTTCATTGTTTTAACATAACATTGCCATGCTGTGGATTAGTCTTCTCGAACTTCTTCAACCCCTCCAGGTGTTTACAATTTCACTTTCAAATGGAGAGTTGAGCCTATAAGCCATATAATAGACTAGCTAGGTTGGCTTAATATCATGTTATAGGTAGATAGGACATCCACTATCATGAATTTTACGATCAAGGTAATTATCTTCAATTCAATCCTTAAGGAGATTAGAAACTTGATAATTCTTTTTATAGGCACCTATTCATTCCCAAACCACACACCTATTCATTCCCAAACCACACTAATGTGGTGGATATCGACTTCAAGTGATCTTTTTCAACCCTCATTTTCTTCAAATAGCTATAGTACATGAAACATCAGTCAAACTCCTATTATCAAATATGATTCTTTTGATTGTATAGTTATACACCTAGACTATGAGCACTATGACATCATCATATGGGTGTTGGATTCTCTTAAGATCTTTTGAGCTAAATGAGATCGACTTATCTTTTTAATCTTTTTTTTATAGCAAAGATGCCTACTGCCATTACCATGCCTAAGTTAAACTTCCTTTTAGCCGAAGTGAAGCTACCTTTTGTGATCATGTTAATTACCCCAGTAACTAGCTTACTATTGTTAGCTTGGCCCTCTTTTTTATTTGACTCTTTTTTTCGAGTATATTTTCTTCTTTGCTTTACTCTTTCCTCTCTACCATAGGTGGTTGTTTTGTGGTCCTATCTATAGTCCATTCTATATTGGTCTTGTTTTCTTTGTCTTACAAATCTCCTTAACTAACCTCGTCTTATCAAAACTTCAATATCATTTTTTAAGTCGATAAAATCTTTGGTATTATAGTCAATGTCCTTGTGAAAAGTACATTTTTTTGTCAGATCTCCCAATGTATACTATCTTAGTGGCTTAGGCCTTATGAGGTCAAAATTTCTTTCAATTTACATTAAAATCCTTTCATGGGAGGTATTCAATGTAGTATAGCTTTTTTCTCCTCTATGGCTTTTAGCCCTATATGGTCTCCCTCTTAAAGGAAGATTGTAAAAATCCTTACCTTTTTATGACTAAAGAGAGGGGGGATAAGCCTTTTTTACCTCGATAGTCAAAGAAGGAGATATGCCTATTTCACCTCGATTTGTTTTCATTGTAGCTTTAGCATTAATGTATTTCTTTGCTATTAGCAAGACGTCGGCCAAAATTTTTGACGGTTTAGCGATAATGTCAGTTTAATGGTATTCTTTATCATTGAGTCCACTTATTAGTGTGACAACAGTGGCCATCTATTTTAGGTCTTTAACTTGTAGAGCTTCTACGTTAAAATACATGACATAGCTTTTTAAAGTTTTATATCGCCCTTGGTGAATTGACATCAAGCTTAGAGTCGTTTTCTTTACTTTTCAGCTACTCACAATTCTAGACAAGAATGAGTGGCTGAGTTCCTTAAATGTGTTGATTGACCTCAGCTCTAGATTGTTATACCAAGATCAAGCTACGTCTTTCAACATAGTAGCTAGACCTTTGTACATTAGAGCTTCGTCTGCCCCCTATATCATCATGTTGGTTCTATAAAATTTTAAATGATCAAAAGGGTTAGAAGTACCATCATATGTCTTCAAGGTTGGCATTTTAAATCCTTTAGGAGGCATGGCTCTATCAATTTCTTCAGTAAAAGGTGAGGTCTCCAATAACTTAAGCTCATTCTCAAATGCCACTGCTTTCATTTACAGCTCTTTTTTCATGGCTTGTATCCGAGCTTCCAAATCTCTATTCGATTGAAATTCATGGTCTGTTTATTTGGATTTTTAGGTTATGGCATGTATGAAATTGTGGCTAGGGTGATGATGAGTTAGGTTTGTGCGTTCTTCTTTTCTGGAGGTTGAGGAGGCTTTCGCCTCTTTATAGCTCAACTGTCCGACAACGACTTATTGACTAGGTGTGACTAAGCCCTATACTTTTAAGAGTTGTGGTAGGGTTATAGTTTGTAGCATCTGCTTGAGAGCTTGTATTTATTCTAATAGGGCTTGAAATTGTTCCATAGTCAGTCTCGCCTGTGGTTAAGTTGGGCAAACAGAATACTGCCTAAGGTGAGTTTCTATTTTAGTTGAGGCAACTACCGCTCCTTCCTTTTGGGTTTTTTTTTCTTAGTGGCATTATTTTGTACTCGGCTAATACAAGATGTCCTATACTTGGTGGACCAAATGTTGGTGTTGAGCTCTTGTAAATGCAAAAGGGAAGGATGGTTAGACGCAAAGGTAAGGGGTGTTCCCTCATTTGTTCTTTGACGTGCAAGTCAGTGAAGATTAGATTGGAAAGAAAGTAAGAAAGTAGGAAAGAAAGAGAGAGAGTGAATGGGATGAACCTGCCTTCTTGGTGCTTGAATCTTCATATTTATACGTAAGCTGAGAGAGACCATAAAGAGACAATTAGGACAAAGCTGAGCTAAGGTGACACTGATCATGTCAGGTCGGCTTAACATGTCAAGTCAACACAAATAATAAATATGCTCTTAATTGTTTGTCGAAAGCTTTGAAAGGAAAAAAAACCACTATATCTTTTTGGATCATCTAATACCCATAACAGTATTCCATCTCAAAGTATCGTAATTATTGTTATTCCCATCATTATTTTCATAGCAATAGTCATCCTCATTTGCGTTCTTCTACAAAAGAGGAGGAAGTCAAAGCAACTGATAAAAAGTAAGTTAAAGTTATAGCGAGGGAAGTTCATGTCAATACTTCATATATCTAGCTATATATAGCTTTAATTCTTTATATAGTCCACAAAACTTTGCAGGTGTTCTTTTATTTTTTATGTGCTAATTGACGTTATTGTTAAACCACAGACAACGATGATGGTTTGGAATAACTGCAACTTCAGTTCAAATCAGTCAAAGAGGCAACAGACAATTTCTTCGAGGTAACAAGCTTGGGCAGGATGGCTATGGTGCTGTTTATTAGGTACGCACGTAATTAGAGATTGACATGGCAGGCAAGTGAAGCCTTCAATATGGGGTTTTGGCCAATCATCTTTTTCAGTTTAAGGACATCGAAAAAGTAATTGTATTTAAAGTTTCTAGGCCTCTTTCCTTTTTTTTCTTTTTCATTTTTGTTAAAATTATTTCAGGGTAGGCACCATGACGGCCAAGAGATAGCTGTAGAGAGGCTGTTTTATGATTCTGGACAAGGAGAAGTGGAATTTAAAAATGAAGTTCTATTAATGGCAAGGCTTCAACATAGGAATTTGGGTAGGCTTCTAGGGTTTTGCTTGGAGAAAAAAGAAAGGCTTCTTATATTTGAGTTTGTATCTAAATCACACGTGGATCAGTTCCTATTCGGTATTTCCGCAGTTCATCTCTGTTTAAAAATTAAAATCCGATTGATTTTTTGCCTAGATCTTGAAGAGTAAAAGTTGTCAAACCTCTACTAATCATTAATAGTATCTTATTTTTTTCATATGATTTCATGAATTTGTAGATCCCGTCAAACATCGACGACTAGATTGGGATAGAAGATACAAAATCATAACAGGAACAGCTCGAGGCTTACTTTACCTTCATGAAGATTCTCGGTATGGAATTATTCATTGTGATCTAAAGGCTGCAAACATTCTATTAGATGCAGAAACGAATCCTAAAATTTCTGACTTTTGAATGGCAAGATTGTTTGGAGCTGATTAAACTAGAGAAAACACAAGAAGAGTTGCAGAAACATTGTAAGTACATGACTACCTTGAGAAAGCATTTAGTAGTAGTCTAGTACTTATTATTTTTGCTTGTGAGTGTATAAAAACAAGAATTTTAGACAATTTAACATTCATTGAGAGCTTAGTCAATTCGAATTTAGTTAACTATTTATTGCATCCAGTGTATATATGGCTCCGGTAAAGATAAAGCATGGAAAATTTTCACTTAAAGTCTGATGTTTATAGCTTTGGTGTGTTGACTTTGGAAATCATCAGTGGTGACAAAATCAGTCACTTCGGTAACGATGGGGTGGATCTTCTAACCTATGTAAGTGGTATTTCACTGGTGCTTTTCTGCATTGGCCTACTAACTCTAAGACTTTGAAGACCGAAAACAATGTTGCTCACTACTCAAATGTTGAAAATTTGATGGCCTGGAGAAATTGGAGAGAAGGAACAGCTCTAAATCTAGTAGATTGTTTTTTGAGGGGTGGTTCTGGTTCAAGAAGTGAATTGACAAGAGGCATCCATATCGGGTTGCTATGTGTCCAAGGAAACGATGCTAATATGACCAACCAAGAACTCTGTTGTTCTAATGCTTAGTGATACTTCTGTATCTATCCCAATCCCCTCGACACCAATGCACAGCCCATGCATCTATGGTGGGTTCAACACAGATATACTGTTGTGAGTTACCTTATATATATATATATGTTTTCTTACTTTAAAATACTAGTATATATATATTTTATAAATTGTAGAAACTGTTATGAGAAATACAAAAGGCAAACTTACCATAGGTTTTGAGTGAACTTTTATATATCAATTAAAAGTTCGAAATTTCAACTTTATTGGACTTGGTATATTATGCAGAAAAGATAAAATAAACGCTACCTTGGGTATGTTTCGGAAATGGAGACCTCATTTATGGACGATGGCATAGAAGAGAAGCGAGATTGATTAAACTCCAATTCGCTTGTTGGAATACTGGATTTATTTTTATAGCGAAAGAAAGAGGCCGGGCGCTGAGGTACCACTGAAGTAAGAACATTGCTACTGTTGAGCACAAGCACTATTGTAGCCATGGAGGGTCTCTTGGCCGGATCTTCCTGAACGCATAACAAGCCAATCTGGATGCACCTAATGACTTCATCTTCTAAACAAGAATCTCTCAATGTTGGATCCAACAGTTCCAAGGGTGTTCCCTTACTCCAGAGTTCCCAGCTCTGCATGCAACACAACTTATTCATGTTCATAAATTTTGCAGTTTACCTTTTGAAATTCAATTTGATGATTTTTCCATGTATACTCACATAGCTTAAGAGGTCTTCAAAGCCATCTACCTGATGAAAGCTGTTGTTCTTCTTGCCACTGATAATCTCAAGAACTGAGACTCCAAAACTGTACACATCTGATTTCACAGAAAATTGCCCATGCATTGCATATTCTGGAGACATGTAACCACTATAAACCAACAATACTGATTAAGATAGTTGATTTAGCACAAAGACATAATAAATGATTTAAAATGTAAATTAAGGACTACTAATCTAACTTAATCTCTAATCCTTGACCAACTTCTGCATATGTCTATTTGTTAAAAGCTTACAAGCTTTTGGTGACACGAGAAGGCCGAGGGGATTCAAAAAGAATTCATGAAGTATTTTGTTTTGATAAACTATATTGTGCTATCAATGGTTTATATAAAAGATTAGTGGGCAGATGAATTAATGTAGCCATGCAGATGCACATGCGTTTATAAAATACTTCATGACTTACTATGTCCCAACTATTCTACTAGTGTTGCCTTGATTTTCATCAACTCCGAAAATTCTTGCCATACCAAAATCTGAAATTTTTGGATTCATCTCTCTATCCAACAATACATTGCTAGCTTTAAGATCACGATGAATAATTCTGAGTTGAGAATCTTCATGAAGATAAAGAATCCCTCTAGCTATTCCTTTGATAATCTTGCAGCGAGTTGACCAATCCAATTCTCTTCCTTTTTCAGAGTCTATCACACACCAAAATCATAAACTCCAGTAAATCAAACTATTTAATCAATTAGAAGTGACATGCAGAATGCATAGCTTTAATTTCTGTTTTTAATGGATGAAGTAAAATCTCATGAATCCTAATTTGACATTGGAACCGAAGGGAAACTACTGAGCAAAAAGGAAGAAAAAAGTTTGGACGTGCCGTTACCAAATAGAAAACAGTCAAGGCTCCTGTTGGGAACAAATTCGTAAATAAGCAACTTTTCCTCTCCTTCCAAGCAAAATCCCAATAGCCTCACAAGATTTCTATGCTGAAGCTTGGCTACTACCGCAACCTCGTTCTTAAATTCCTTTTCACCCTGCCCAGATCTTCTTGATAGCCTCTTTACAGCGATTTCTTGTCCAGAGGGAAGTATACCCTGGTAATTTAAAATTTTTTATCTGTTAAAATCTCTAATCCTTGAATATCTAGTTACTCCAAGATCTTGAATGGGTAATTTCCGCCATATGATCTTATTCATGAGGATTTTTGGGGAAGGAAAGTTTGGTTCGCACCTAGGATTTTATATCTATAAAAATGATTGGCTACCACTAAGCTGAGTGGTAATTGGCTAATTAAATTGATTATTCCTACAGGCAAACAGATAAGGATGGTTCATGAAAACTTGGTGTTAATTAGTAATTTCCTACCTTGAAAACCTGACCAAATCCACCTTCACCCAACTTGTTATCATCAGAGAACTTATTGGTGGCGGCTGCAATTGTCCCTAAATCAAATTGCAAGGACTCTATGGTCATAATATCATTTGCAGCTGAGCAACGAGAAGGAGTATTAGTCTTTTTCTAGCGATGGAAAACATTGAAAATAATTAATAATGTTTCTCGGTTTTTTTTTTTTTTTTTGTACAAATAACCACTCATATTTTTGTGTTTTTTATTTCTCTGATGATTTACCTGTTTGTTCTTCTACTGTATTGTATTTGTTTTTTCTTTTCCATCTTAGGATGCAGAAGCCCGCGATTAAAAGCAGCACAAAGGCCACAATCGCAGCAACAATGCTGATTATTTTTCCTGACGATAGGTTCCCTTTTCCTGCATAACAAACAGTTAAACATACCTCTAATAATGACATGCTGGACAGTTTTGCTTTTTCTGGATCTTCAATTGGGCAGACACGTAACCATAATTAAATTCAGATGCGATCAGTTATGAAAGTCCCACGGTTGGCCAATTCCCCCACCCCCAACCAAAATCTTTAGAGTAAGAGATTTTTCTTTAAAATTTGATAAAATAATCGATAAAAAAAAATTGGATTCAACTTTACCTTTGGAGCCGGGTTTAGGCGACGATGGTGCCCCTGCCACAAGGTAAAATGGGTACAATTCATACCTAAACATACAGCTGGGAAATATAACTCTACCCCCTTGCTTTACCCCGCAGCAACCAGGAAGAAAATAATTAAATGCCTCTTCGAGACACCTGTTACAATCTGACACAGATAAATCTTGCGTGCATTGACCAATTGCGTATATCGTTTCACTTCTTGTGAAGGGCAATTCTACAGTAGCAAACCTTCTACCAGACCGATCATTGGCAATCCTTGCAGTTACATTACGCGTCGTCCTTTCTAGCAATTCAAGGAATTGATCTTGTTGTGAAATATTGAGGGAGTTCACCAGTTGCAAAGCAGGTTTCAGTTCCAATTTGCCGAAGAAATTCTGACTCGAGTAACGTAACATGCATTCCTCATAGGTAATTATGGCTGCTTTCTCCATGCGGCAACGCTGAACTATGTCCTTGCCAGCTGTATCTACACATTCTCCACAGAGGTCTTTGGTGGCATCACCACGGCAGAGAAAGAGACCATAAACAATGTCTTCAGGGCCACTGCCAACTGTGAGGTTGTAGAATCTGTTGTCACGGCTTGAATTAGAGGAAAGGGATGAGAGAAGAAAATTGAGATTTCGCTGAAAAGTGCCATTAGGACTGAAAGTTGTTGTATTAGTACAGTCAGAATATAAGAAAATAGGCTTAGCTTCACAGGTGAATATGAGCTTAAGCAACCTGAGCAAGAAGTAAATCACAAGGGTCTTGGAGATGTTAAAGGAAAACATGGTGATAATCAGCTTTTTCCTTAGCATCTGGGAAGGGTTTAACTATACTTGATTCTAGTCATCTTGCGAGATTTCCAAATGAATTGAGTTGATCAGGAGAGTAAGGAAGACCGCAGGGCGTTGTTGAGATCGTATGTATGTAATAGCTAATATCCCTTTCACTGATTGAGAAATGTGTTTGGAAAGATGTAGCAAACCATCAATTTCCTGGCAAACAAGGGGCGAGTTGACGCCATTCATTGCACAAGTCTTTGAAGTGTAGGCAGCCGTTTATTTCTAGGCAAACAGCGTTAGCATTGAAAAGTCTAGCAAACAGTACTGGAGTATGGGTAGATATTTAAAAGGAGAGGGTGCATAAGTCAGGCCTCCTAGCACCCTATTGACTCACCAACAAATCGTAGCTTCTTTCAGATCATAAGTTCGCTCTATCCCTTGAAATATGAATTTCGTCACTCGAGTTAGGTTTAAGCTATAATCTTCAGATAATTGTGTTCTTTTCTGTTATTAGTAAATAGAGATTTTCATAAAAAGTAACAAACATGAAGGCCCAGCGATGTTAACTTCCACAGTTGTGGGGAAAACCATTATGACCTGAAAACCATTATGACCTTACCTAGAAAACGGTTGCAACCTGTTAGCATTTGTGCAGAAATTGAATTGATATATTTACCAATGGGAGATATTGTGAGCAAGTTTAACGGTTGAACAATTGAAAATAAAATTTTAATTACAAATTTTTATTTTGCTAAATAAAATAATTTTATTTTAAAATATTTTCAGTCTTTTTACAAATAAAATTTCTCCTTCAAATCTTACCTCAAAAACTGTGGATTAATGTGGATAAATCCCACATCTTTTTTATAAAAACTTTTCTAGGACATAAATAACAAATGTAAAAGAATATAAGGGTAACATTTAATCTACGGTTGAATTGATTTAAAAGACAAAGTTTTTTTACCGAACTGAGTGATTTCTTTATCATTTTTATTTGACATATTAAATGGGGTAGTTAACAATTAATATTATAAATTTGCTTATTAAAAAATATATTACTTCTTTTAAATAGAAAAAATGCATGATCCTCGTTAGTAAAATTACTTCTAAGATATACCATTTTTAAATACTTCTAAGATACTCATTAATAAAATTTTTTGATAAAAAATAGTAATGTCTATTTATTTTGTGTTTATTTTAATATCCTAATTATGTCATACATTTCCCAGGACAAAAACTTTTGGAACTAAATACGGTTACCTATCTCATGATCCTCATGTCTCCTCAATTTTCTTCATTTCTGTTTAATGTTTAATGTTTATTCCCTTCTAGAAAGGGTTGAAATATTTTTTGGGGGTTTGTTCATATTCACATTCTTTGTTTCAATAACCCGTTTTTGAGTTTTAATTAATCTTCGTCAGGCAACTCAGTGTTAGGGAATGAAAGAAACGAACAAATTGAATTACAAAGTGATAGGGTTTATAGCAACGAACTTCTCCGTACCTGTTCATGGTTCAAAGCACATGGAAGGCTGATTACATTGTGGGCCAGCTCGTTGGTTTCTGTGAAAACACGACAAAAAGAACAAAAATCAAATTGAGCAGCTAAGAAAAGTCCTCTTCAAAACTTCAAAAATGGCTTGTTTGGAGTCTTTTTCAAGTTCAACGGCAATTGCAGTAAACCATTCCTTACCGCAGTAGTCTGCAGACCATAACAGAGCGCATGATGAATTTCAGCACGACTTTCCCTCTGCAGTACCATTTGCGTAGGAATGGCACTAAGCAAAAGATCCGTTTGAGGGTTTCTCCAGCCATGGAAAGTGGAAAGTCTGCATCGACATTTACATCGACTTTATCTATTTGCACTATTGTGAACCTAACTTTTTGACCTTAAATGGTTCATCCAACTTTGGAAATATTGAGATGAGGATGTGATTGGACTACAAGCCTGACTTTGGGCTGTTATTTAAAAATGTAGTAAGCCTGACTTTGCGCTATTATTTAAAAATGTTGTCCTTAATAGACTAAACATGTATAAAATTACAATGGGTCCCCCGGGAAGGTTTAATCAGCGCAAAATGACGCAGAAATTGCTTTGGAATGTCCCCATCTCTATATATTGCCAATCCAAGCCAAATTATTGTTCTTTTCATTTAATGCTAGAAAAACAATCCAACTACGTCCAGGTTGCAAAATTTGTTTATTTTGATGAATTATAAATTTTTTAATTTTTCAATAAATTAAAATTTATTTTTTTAGTATTTTGTTGGCTTTTTTTTATTTTTGAAAAATATAATCTTTTAAAAAAATAAAAAACTGATACTCTAATTTTGTCACTCAATTATAATTGAACAAGTATTGGTTTTTATTTTAAATAAAAGAAACTACTTTAAAATAATTATGTAGATTAAATCTAAATTAATAATACATGCATAACAATTCAATTTATTGATATACTATTTACCTATTATTAATTTGATCAATTATCCAATTTAAACCCGTTTACCCATGAAATCAAAGGCCACTAATATCATCTTCAGCTTAATTTTAAAAAAAAAACTAATAATTTATTATAATATGAAAGGCATTATAATAATTTTAATGAATGATAATAATAGGTACTTCTGTAATTATGATTGGAGGAACATTATAATAATTTTGACCAACAAAAATAGGATGGTTTTTTAGTAATTATGATAGGAAAAAACTGTAAATACCACATTTTATCTTAAAAATTTTTTGGTATTTAAATGAATTTTGAATTTTAATAATTGGATGAAAAATTGAAATTGAGTTTTAATTGTGAAATTGAACTTTAGGCCCAAAAATAAAAGCTTAAAATTGTATTTTTACTTTAATCTATTTTAATTTTAGTTTTATTATTATTACTTTATTTTTGGTTTTTTTGACATTTGATTAAAAAAAAAAGAAAATCAAAAAGAAAAAGTTAGGTAGATTCAAGATCTAAGAATATTCAACGCAAGTTAATTTTGAATATATTTGAACTCCAATTCATTGAACAAGGAAAGATAATTTTTTTAAAAAAATTAAATTGTGATTTTGCTTGTTTTTGGGTTGTCTATTTTGGGTTCTGAAATTCAATTTTTTGGTATTTTTTAAAGCTGTTTTGATCCTTGGGTTTTTTTTTTTTAATTTCAAGTGTTTTTGGTTTGATTCATATATATTTTGGGTTTTTGGATTTGATTTATGGGTTATGGGTTTTTCATTTGATTTTTCTAAATTTTTTGTTGAATTTTTTTGTTCTTTTTGAAATTTTCAGTGAAAGTTTGAATTTTTCAATAAATTTCACAGTGGTCGGAGGGTTTTAAAGGGGCCAGTTTTTGGATTCTTTAGGTTTTCTTGGAAGTGTTTAAATTTTTTGATATCGTTTGAATCTTTCAATGAGTGAATTTGGTTTTTGGCCAACAAGTTGGTCTTTAAAAAAAAAAAAGGTCAGAAGACTTTTTGGGTTAAAGAAATAAGGAAAATGATAGTTATGAGAAAATTTGATTTTTTTAGCTTTTATAGTAGTCTCAAACAATGTCGTTTAGAAGGAAGAGATCCATACCTTGACCTATGGCAACCTTCGTGCCAACCCACAGCCGATCCGACTCGATCATAGGTTTTCGTTTTCTATTTTGATTTGATTTGATTTTTTATTTTTATTATTTAATTTTTTGTTTTTATTAATTTTAATTATGATTGAATTAAAAGTGATAAGAAAAATAATCTTTATAGTTTACTTTGCATTTTTTTTCAATGATATCTATTTGCATGATTTTTATATTTTGCATCAATAATTATAGTATATATATTTACAAGATATTTTACATGAATTTAATTTATTTGCATGATTTATTACATAATATTTTGTATGAATTTCTTACATGATTTATTTGCATAATTCATTTGCAAGTTTTTTTATGATATTTATTACATGATTTTTGCTATGATTTTTATGATTTTGCATGATTTATTTTGCATATTTTGATTATAATATTTTTGCATGATATCTTGATAGTATTTTTGTATGACATTGTTTGTAAATAAATAAAATGAATTAGAATTTGATTTTTCATAAGATATTTAATAAATTCAATGATGAAACCTTTTTAAATAAATAATAAGTTTATCTTGAATACTTTTGGAGTACATTTGGTTCGAGGAAATCCATAAAATTTTCTTTGGAATTTTAATGGTGGGTATTTGATTCCCACGTTTAGTTTAGTATAATCCAATTATAAGAGAAAAATATTGAATTTCTAACAGTACGCAAAATCCTAGAATCAAAAACTCATTTCTCCTTGTGGTATTCTAAGATTTATGGGGGGAAAAAGTTGCTTTATTTTTAATTTTGATCTAAATAAAAAATTATCACATAGCCATAAGTTATTGTTCTAATTTTACCCTTTTAAAAAGTATGTTTGGAAGTGACTAGAACTTAGCTGTAAGTTATTGTTAGTGGCATTTTAATTTTTTTTTTATATTGCAATTAAGGCATTTGGCATGAAAAAACACCTTAATTGATGATCAATTAAGGTATTTTTGGACACAAATGCATTAATGGGGATCATCAATTATGGTGTTTAATGCCTAAAATGTCTTAAAATGATTAATGCATCAATTAAGGCGTTTTCTTCATCAAACGCCTTAATTTATCACCAATTAAGGCTTTTCTTCATTAAAACGCCTTAATTGATAATTTTCGGATAAATATTTTTTTATTTGCTTTTGAAGACTATGTTATGACATAAATGATTTTCAGTCATAGTATGAGAAGTTTCTATCAATTAAGTTGTTTGTATGGAAAAACGTGTTAATTTGTTATCAATTAAAGCATTTCTTCCTACAAATGCCTTAATTGTCACATATTAAAATTTTAATTTTCCTCTCAAAGATCGTGTTTTGACAATATGAATGCTGTAATGTCTAATTACGAAGCAAAATAACATTTATTTTATACATCGAATAAGGCATTTGTATATATGAAATGCCTTATTTAATGTCTTCATCATATTTTAATACCCAATACATTTCTTATTTTTTATTTCAACATATTTCAGCTTATAGCATTTACTTTTCTTTTTAAACTAATTTCAATTTTAACATCTGTCATTCAATCTTCGTCTTGTTAAGTTTATCTTCATTTTTTTATAGAAAATGATGTGTATACTTTTTTATTGATATTTTTATCTAATATGCATTATTTATTGCCTTCTAATGTTTTCTTTTTTTTTTTTTTTCATATTTGTAGATGTCGTTTAGATCTAAATTTATGTTTATAATATAATCGCCTTGTTTTCTGGTTTTTTTGTTTTAACTCTTTCACCTAGAAATGTTTTGTTGCTACTTTATGTTTTCTTTGATGATGTTTGATAGATTTCATGTACTATATGCCAAGATTTGCTTTCCATTTATGTTTTCAACATTAGAGATATTCTTTCTTCTAAACAGTTATAGCTAGTTTATCATTAAGAACTAATATACATTGCTTATGATGCATTTGAGCTAGATGCGGACTTTGTTTCATTTGTTATGTTTTGTTGTTGTAACTTTATTAAATATGAATGTTAGAAAATGA